TAAGAGCGATGGCCTCCAACCTAAGAGCGATGGCCTCCAACTTAAGAGCGGTGGCCTCCAACTTAAGAGCGATGGCCTCCAACTTAAGAGCGATATAGCTGATGGCCTCCAACCTAAGAGCGATAGCCTCCTGCTTAAATTAAGAGCGATGGCTTCCAACCTAAGAGCGATGACATCCAACCTAAGAGCGATGACATCCAACCTAATAGCGATGGCCTCCAATCTAATAGCGGTGGCCTCCAACCTAATAGCGATGGCCTCCAATCTAATAGCGGTGGCCTCCAACCTAATAGCGATGGCCTCCAACCTAATAGCGATGGCCTCCAATCTAATAGCGGTGGCCTCCAACCTAAGAGCGATGGCCTCCACCCTAGTAGCGATGGCCTCCACCCTATAGTCAGGTCTCTTGAAGAATCTCGTTGTTTTGAATGCATCTAAGACGGTGAACTGGGCCGTGGTTTGTTTGACCAGGTCCACAACTGCACAGCGCTCTGGACTTGACAGTTCGGACTCTTTGGGGTTCCAAGAAGAGGGTTGGAACCAGGAGCACAAAGTCAAACTCGTTTTTGACCAGCGGTGGGATCAAGGCGCGCAAGACACAGAACAACGGGATAAGCCTTGATGTCACCGAACTTCAAGTAGGTCTTAGGCGTCCTCTTAAAGTTCCGGCCCTGCAAAGTGGCCAAGGTCTGTGTACCTTGCAGGGCATCGAACCAAAGCAAGGACCCTCGATGCTTATCTTATTCATGTGCAACAGCCGCAACAGCAATACATATATAAGTGCATACAAGCCGCTGTAAAGTCCTCCAGATGGCAAAACAGAGTCAAACCTTGGCAGCTTACCCAACCTCCCAACCGCAAATGCCGGTCGTCCATTTCACATAACCAGGTCTAGGCAAAACATTTGGCGGTTTTTCCTCCGCTGGCATGCTCAAAGAAGGAGTTGCCAGCATGTGAGGAGCCAGCAAATGCGGCGGCTTGGAGCCCTGGGATTAGAACATCCATGAGCATCCCGTCAATTTTTCACTCGCACCGCTGCCGGCTTCCACCTTCAACGTGCGGTCATTACTGAAGAAGGGCTGCATCTGGTGACAGGGGAGTAGTGTAGTAGCAATTAACGGCAGAGCTAGCAAAAGCAATGATGGGAATGTACAGTATAACAATGAGCATCCTTGAGTAAATGCAAACTACCAGCAGCAACAGCGGCAAGCTTACCACAAAAGAAGTGTGCAGCAGCAGCAGCAGCAGCAGCACATCAGAGTCCAACCATTAGAGTCGTGGTGAGAGCCGCAGTGATAGTCTTGTGCTCCCAGTTTGTGATGATTGCAACACCAATTGGCCGAGGCTATCTTGCTATCAAAGAACTGGAAATCCTTCAAATAGCTGTAGACGTTGTTCAAATTTGTGCGCGTCTGTCCACCATCGAAGGTAAGGTCAATGGTCACATCCTCAAATGACTCAAGAGCAAGCGATTTGATAGCGCAAACGTCCGTCTGCAAGTGTTCCCAACAAGGAGCCCCACATGCGTGAGTTCATGTACGTGTCTACAGGTGCACGTGCTCTTTTCTATACGCACAGCGGGTGCATGTGGTATCTGCTGGATTCTGATGCTCTTTCCACGTAAAGGACATCCAAAATACATTTCTCTCCTGGCAGTCCAAGCGTCCATGGGCGGCACAGCATCCGGGAAAATGTCAAAAAGAGACGGGGCCCGACAATGCATGCTCGTGCCACTCGTCACCTGTTGCACAGCACCCAAATGGGTGTGTCATGGCCGTTTCCAGGTGACGATGCAGAAGCAAGCTGCCATCTACAGTACGCAGTAGATTCAGTTACAGTATAAATCGGTTTGCTTGATGTCTTGTCAAGGTTGAAAAACTGTTCCCATTGGCCCATCATGAGCCTCTGCCACGCATGCAAGTCTTAAACACATCTTTGACAATGACATGACATGAGTCGCTCCCAACGTCTGGATATGGGTCACAAGACTTTCTGCCCACGTTGGTCCTTTTGTGTTACCTTTAGCCATTCTTTACCATTGAAGTTTCGGAGGCTACATTCTTGACTCACCGCCACGTCACTGATGCAAACAAACTGAATATTTGAACACTATCAAACTATCTGCATGCGTGCCGGTCTTTCGAAGATTTTCGAAGTAGCACTCAGCTGCCAAAGAACCACTCTGCGTGTTCCTTCTGTCGCTTCTCGTGTTCCGTACCTCGCCTCTCCGTGTGAGAAGTACCATCGCCCAAAGACACAACCAACCAGGGAGCTGTTCACCTGGGAGCGCCAGGAGCGGCTTGGCCTCACCTGGCCTGTGTGAGGCCTCACACTCACCAGTGTGCGGCAAGAGATGAATTCTACCACACCACCCCAGCATTTGAAAAGTCTTTAGAGTTGCTGCTATTTAGCGTTGAATCACTTTTTGGCTTCTCAAATGTTCACATGGATGCCGGACACCCTTTAATGCGTCTTCATAGTGGGTATAGGGTGTGTTGCGGCCCGAAACAAGTGGATCAACATAATCATAATTGATTAATTAACATCATTTACATGTTTTTTGCCCACCATGTAGCCGTGGTAAATCCTAATTAGGATTTCAGTGAGTCTTGCGCAGGTCGCAAGTGTGTGAACATGACACTTCACCACTCAGTTCACCATGCACTTTGCCGACAAGTTTCAATACCAACGGACCAGCACTCCTTCCCCAACCTTCATTAAATTAAATCCAAAGATCTCGGTTCCAGCATGGTTTTCAGCACTCCCCTACTGAAGTCTTGGGCCCTCTGTGATCATGTTCCCCGTGTTTTCGGAGAAGTGGCCACTGGGAAGACGAAGCCAGAGCCTGTCAAAGTGAGGTCTGCTCCACCTTTGATTGCAACACCATGCCTTGGAGACACAAAGAGCTCCTGACAGCACAATGCTGGGCGAGCGCATGCGTAGAACCGTCCACGTCAATGGTATGCATGGCAAGCCGTGCAATGTCAGCCTAGCTTGCCCCAACATGGTTTGCTCTTCCCTGCGTGAATATACAAGAGGTGCTGAGCGATTCTCACGAACAAATCCTTCTTTACATAATTACGCAAATACTACTTGGCTGGCTGCAAGGTGCATGGTTGTGCACGTCTGCGGGGCGTGTGGAAATCGGACTTCACTTCAAGGAAGTGCATCCAGCTAGATGCCCTTGTTACTAGTAGCGATGCCCTTGTTACTGCTCAATCTGTTCAGAGTTTCATCTGTCCTGCGTCTCCCGCACTGGCACATTGTGCTGCCTGAAGTTCAGGCTCCTGGGAAGTGGGATCCAGACCTCAGCACCGCGACGCGACCCACGGATGCATTGACACAGCCCCAACACTGGCACCAGTTCCCAGCTTTTTCTGGCGCTGGTTCTAGCTGAATCACAAGATTCCCAACCCTGGTCCGGCTCAACATCAAAAGAGCATATTGAATGGAACCCAGAGCATCATGTCAAGCTGAATGCAACAAGATAACGTAGTATTGTATAGTATTGGTGATTGATCTCAATAAAGTCCTGTTCATGGAACGGTCAAAAAGTCCTTTCAACGACCTATTGATCAACTGGATCAACTGCCATATACTTGGCATGTAGTATATCATATATATAGTATTAGATATATAGTTGTGCATTTTTGTACACATATACAGTACATATATTATATTATATATATAACTCCTCCAAAACTCCATATATGGATATGTATCGCATATTTACCGACCTGGGCCCCTTTTCAAACCTGGAGGTTGCCAGTCCCATGCAGCGGGAGTGGCGAGTGGCGAGCGCGCACACGGACCGGACGGACCGAGGCATAAGTCGGCGTTGGACGGCGTCGCACAAGGTGACAGGTCCTTCGAATGTGTCATACCCCTTTTGAAGTTTGTATGGTTATATGCACATGTCACGGGTGTAGGTCAAAGGTAAAACATGGTAAAACTACGTCATGTCCAGATGAACCTACAACGTGTCAACCAGGTTCCGACCCACTTGGAGCACACCCGGCCCCCGGAGCCCAGCCGCCGGAGGGAGGCCGGCGAAGCTCACCTCGAGGGTCAGGGGCATATCATCGCCCTGCGGAAAGCGTGGGGACGGAGGCCATCGACGTGGGGACGGGGGTCATTCAGACATTGATCCCCATGTTTTCGAGGAATAGTCCACTGATGTCCATTGTATTCATCTGATGTCCATATGTACCCTCTTGTGTTCATAGAATCGATAGCCAATACACTGTTTTAGTTTTTCGGGGATGACCTGCGGGCCGAGGACCAAAAAAATCTCCTCGTAACTTTCCAGATGAATGTAATTTAGTTTAACTTGAATTTGCATATGATGTTGGATTGGCACAAAATAAAACAAACATGAAAAGAATTGGGTGGACTGCAAGTACATAGCTAGCAAACATGAAACAGGGCTCACACGGCACAACCTTCACCACACTTTGTGGTGTAGAACCGTTTCAGAATTGAACCTCCTAGAAAGTTCTGTTGAGTTCTGTCAGGTCCCCTTTCATCCGTTGAAGGCGGGTTGGATATTACTGCAGCGTTGGTGTTAGAGTCTTGGAGCTATAATGGTGCCCAGTGCCCACCGGCGATGTCCTCAAATTATGTAGCCAACAAGCAAAGGAAAAAGCAACATTCGTTTACAAGTGCATGTAATGTCGACACCGGATTAATCAACCCTCCCCCCCCCTTCAAGGTCAACAAGGTCAACGAGGTTTGGGTGCAAACCACATCTCCTTAATAAAGATTATGACCTGATGATGGATGATGAAATGAGGACCTGGACCTGATGATAGATGATGGCTGATGGGATTCTGTATCATGAGAGATTGAACCATGAGAACCATGAGAGCTCTGAGTGTATTGGCACAAGTTTGATAAGAGATCAAATAGGATTGATCAGAGAGCCATGCCAATTGGATCATTGCATATCAAAGACCATGGACCAAAAAATATTGAATACTAAAACAGTAAAACTAGTTAAATAAATAGAAAACAAACTATTTTTGTTCTGGTGGAGCTGGGCTTGATTAATAGGGGGGGTTCTGGCAAGGAACAAAGGTTGCAGAGTTTTAATTAGTTTAGTATTGGAGGCTCCAGCTGGGCTTGATTAATAGAGGGGGGTTCCTGAATCCTGTGTGCGCATTATACTACATGGTCACGTCTCCACCTCTGCTGCCAAAGCGCCTTCAGAACAATGGTGTCATTGTCCCAAGCAAATTGGGTCTGGAATTCACTTTTTTTCATCGGATGGAACTGGTGAAAGTACACGTCCACGCGGGAGTTTCACAAACAAACACACGTTCGTCACCAAGCTCCAGCCCGACACGAGGCGCCGTCCTCGTTTGCCCGCCTCGTGGCTGAAGGGTGCAAACTTGCTATGCGAGGGCACCGGGCAAACGATGTGATCCGAGCCGCCCACTGAGATGGGTGTGACAAAGGTGCCTGGCGAAATGGACCGACATCGGGCGCGGACGGTGGGTGCTCAACACCTGCGAGGCGGATGTGAGGCCGATGTGATGTCCCTGTTGCGCGTTTTGGGGTACTAATTCTTGAAAACGTGTAGGGCCGTGTAGGGCATATTAGGGGCGTGTTCCCAGATGGCCGACGATCTAACATAACATAACGGATGAATGTGACTGAAGTCTTGCAGTGGCTGACAGTGTCCTTGGCCAAATGGCCAACAAAGCCGGGCCAAGCGGATTCAGGTGGTGCCGCTGTGGATGTGCAGCGGCTTTTGGTTTCAATTGTGCCGCAGCCGTGTGCGACGTCGCGCGTCTTAGACCGCGCCCGTCTGCACCAGAGGTCCCAGCTGAATTGCATCCGCGTTGCATCCAGAACACCAGAGTTAAAGCTTAACGTAGACTCTTGACAAAAAGACCTACCCCAATTGGATTGAACAACCTCTTCACGACTCAAAAGGTGATTGATCCAGAGTATACATTACAACTTCCAGCTGTTGGGGAACAAATCCACTCAAAAGGTTGGTCCACTCAACTCTTGGGGGCACCTCCTCCTTCCATGCCACTCGTTCCATCTCGTTCCACCCGGCCTTGCCAGCGGCAGTAGGATGGCACCGCGTCATCCGTGGGGAACTGGAACATGTAGATTGACACGTTGTTCCTCGACATGCGGCGGATATAGGTTTGTATGTTGATGTATTTTGATAGGGGACACCCAACCAATGGGTTCCGGGAGGTCTTTGGGGGGGTCTCCCACTTTAAGCTACACACCTATAAGCCTATATCAGTGATATCAGTGTGTGGAGGTGCCCCTCTCGCCACCTTTGAACGTCACTGAAGCCCCAAAGGCTGTCCCTTGCCTCCCTGGCAAAGGGTTCTCGGAAAAGTTTACCAGCTGACTTTTGCACGCGGGAGTTCTCAATTTCAGGTCAACAGCCTCATCAGCTTCCAAGCAGCTTGAACACATGGAACGCATGGATCAGACCCTCCTAGCTCCTCAACGTCATCTCTCAAGGAGAGTGATCTGTATCATTGAAGGCCTTCCATGGTGCTCCCGCTCCAGTCCGTCTTGGAGCCACCCTTCGTGCTCCCAAAACAAATCACCGGAACCGGAACGAACCATGAGGCCCGGTCGTGTCAACCAGGGCGCACGCCCAAGAGCGAGCCGAGCGGTGGATGCAGCGCAGCGAAGAGTGGTGGAGCATAGTAGGCAAAGCGGGCTTTGGGTCCCCAGGTGGCTCCGTCGTTCACGGAGAACCTCACGTCGACCTTGGAATGGAGGGCCCGAGGCCGGAGGCGAAACATGGCGACGAGGGACAGAGGCAATCCACCATCCACACACATTCCCGCGCGAGTGTAGAACTTTGTTGAGTTGATTGGATGCTCCAACAGTAACGTCAGTATGCCGATTACGCTTCACATGCAAGCTTAGGCTATTCTCATATATACGGACTTATCGAAAAGGAGTGGAAACTTCACTCCGGGGTCTGGGGGCCAGTTGCTTTACATCTAGCCAAGCATCTGTCTGCTGGCCCGTGACTGCTGGGGCCCTGGAAATGGGGGCGGCACTCATACTGTGCAGAATGCATCAGGATTGCATCGGAATCGGAATGCGATCTGATTATGCAACGAACATGCAACATTATGCAACGAACATGCAACATGGCCCAACATGGCTACATGAATCTACATGAGGTTTCTAGCGCTGCAAGTGCTCCTGGTTTGGAAACCAAAGGTGTTTGATGACTTGCCCAAGTCCTTGTCAAAGCATGCGCCGAGTTGGTGACCCGCCTGCACTGTACTTGTTGAAGCTGTGCCACACAATAGGCTGGCACCTCAGGCGTAGCAACGCAGCCTTTTCTAAACCACGGGAGCGGCGTGGTTTTTCCATGGCGGCAGGCCTTCTCATGAAGTTTTGAGTAGGTAGTGGCAATTGTGGACATAGTAGATAGTAGAGAGTGGAGTCGATAGTGGATAGTAGCATGGTATGATGCCAGCATGACGTTGGACGGGCAGCTCACCAAGCCCTCTAGACTCTAGACTGTGTGGCGAACGGAACGGAACAGGACCCGCCAAATGAGGGAAACAGGACCCGCTCCACCCGAAAAGCCTCACCTGCACCGTGCCAAATTGACATCGGCAGCGTGAGAAGGGCGGAATGTAGAAGCCGTCCTGGCAATGTAGATGTATATCAAAGCAGGTCTTCACGACGCAACAAAAGCTTCAAAGGTTGACAAATCTATGACAAATCTGACATCAAGAGTCACCTCATCTTCCCTCCTTTCCACCTCCAAACCCATCGCCCCTGCAGAAAGAGAGAGAGAAAGAGAGAGAGTCTATACACGAATGTGTCAGCGGAAAAAAAACAAAGAAGCGCTCCGTGCGGAGGATCACGTCGAGGCCATCCAAGGGACCCCGCTGAGGAGAGATCGAAATGCGTGAGAAGCCTTGGACGGGACACGTGGTTTGGGTCCGAAGCACCCAGCATCGGTCTGCTGCCAGGCCTAACATGCTGTGTACTCAGTTAACATGAAATATGCAAGATTGAAGGCGATTGAGTTTGTTTAAGCATAAATCTAATTATATATATATCGTTTGTGTGTATATATATATATTAATCAACCGTTGAGTGATCTAGTAGTGTCTGGCACGGGACCAAGCGACTGCGCCATAAGTCAGGCATAAGGTTTGGGCCCACAAAAGATAGATTGGAAGCTAAGTGAAGACAAGGAATGTTGTAGAGTGTGGTATGAGGGTGAAACCGAACAATGAAGCCTTAAGTAACCAAGTAGACTATATAAGTCTAAGTAGACCAATGTTAAACAAACTCCCAATCAATGATCTTTACAGAACCCACAACCATACAAGCACCCACTCCAAACCCCACATGACATGGCAGGTCAAACGTGATACCCTAAGTGAAGCCCATGAGGTCAACTGGACTTTTGACCGCGCATGGATCCTCAATCGAGTCTTCTGTAGGCTCCTCAGCTGAGGTTCTTGATGGCTCACTTCCATCTGACAAAGTGGAGGGCCACCAGAACTGGCCCAGCCTCAAGACCTGAGTGTTGCCGAAAGTATGCTGCTGTCGCATGGAACAAGTTGAGTGTGCTCACTCCGTCGTTGTACAGTATATGTTCCCTTCTTTTATACGGCTGCAGCTCTAGTCGTCTGGCAAAGTACTCATACCCGGCATCTGGAGATGGGCAAATATATATTATATAATTATATATACACAATGTATCTTTATTATTTCTAGTTGTTTATATGATGATACTGTATGCATTTTCGTGCACTCCTGGCCCCTGACAGTGCATTTTTCAGCTCTCTTGGACACGTATACACACACACATATATATATATATATAATACATACATTTCACCACAGCACTTGCAAGTGCACTGCCAAACACTTCAGCCAAGAGCTGGCTTACACAAATCATAGAACGATAAAACAAAAAACAACAATTCTTGAGGTCTTGGGCTGGCAAGCGGGATGACCTTCAGAAAAGGCTTCCAGAATCTTGACTGAACCCTCTCCCCAAAGGAACAACTTCTAATAATGTTTGTTCTGAGTTATGTGCTTTCTTTTTTAGCTTAGTGGGGTTCCTTCTTTTTTAGGCACCCCCTTCCCGGTCTAAGATCTCCGAGAACTAGCGGTTGTTGAAGGTATTTTCATGCTGTGTGGAGGGGACCCAGGAACCTTAACCTATTGCTGCTTTGCAAAAAATCCGGTACAACTTTTTGTTACCTAGCAATCTTGAATAGAACTTACTATGTTCCTTTTGGTATGTGTTCCCTAAATATCGATTTGCTTGCTCAAGCATTATTATTTGGCTAGTCTTGTGGCTCTTCAGCTTTTCCAATAATTGCTAATTACATAAATCGATTTGTTTCAGGCTCATTTATATAGCTGCTCCTGTTCTTGGTCGCGCCAGTAGATTTGTATTAGGAACATTCATGTAAGACTTTACACTTTAATGCACTTTACACTTGTCAAATGATCAAACATCAAAAGTGCTAAAAACGTGCACTGCCACAACTGCCTGCCCCCGCTGAACGCTTCATGTGAATAGCGACAGGCAGAATATAGGTCTGAACTGTGTATCTCGCAGGTACAGTATGACTCAACAAGTGGGGAAGAACACTTAAGAATCACTGCCCAACATTTGTTTCTCGGAAAAGGACAAACAAGCACCCCTCTCGTCGCTGGTCATCAGCAACTTCGCCCCATTTTCATCGCTCATTGGGGGGCTCAGCTGTGACGGCATCAACTGCTGCTGTGCCACATTTTCTGTGGCATTCAAAATCTCTGGCTCCGTGCCGTTGGGCAACTCCCCCATGTACCTGCAAAGCTTCGTCCGTCTTACTCATCGATCGAACGGCTTCAACTCCCCAAAGGATGAAAAAAATGTATCGAACTCACTGTCACCTTAGGCTAGATTGAAGAGTTGGGCCCTGGAGTGCTTTTCACGGCCGTGCACTGCTACCAGGGACCAGCTCCTTCCAACTGGTCCAGAAGTTCCATTGCCTGTTGGCCTGTTTCAGAACATGGGAGATTTGTGGTCGTGCGGCTAGCACTCGAAACACAAATATGCGCAGGACTCATGTGTCACCGCAGTGGTCCAGAAATAACGCAAAACAGGGCAGTCTGCTCCGGTTTTCTGACATCCTCCCAAGCCACGAGTGGTCTCTCTTTTCCGTCCCACGTGCCTTCGGAAGTCTGAGGTCGTCGGCTCCAGTTGTGCCGGCTCCAGCTGCATGGGCGACACCTTGCAGGGGTCAGAGACGGAGGTTCTCCTTTTTTTGGCAAGTGTAATCTCTCAAATGGAGACTGAAAAAGGACGGAAGTGAAGTCTCTTTGAGGTCTTCACATGGACCACCAACATCATGAACTGCTTAAGCTGGGTGCAAGGTTCGTCTTGACTAAGGATATTGATGTGGCCTGTCTCTCTACAATGCGTGCTGCCTCTAGTAGCAACATGTGACTTTGTGGTCATAGTCATACTGCCCTGAGACATGTTTGCTGTGAGACACCCTGAATGCACATATTATCACTTCTAAGCTCTCACAAAACACATGTTGATTACTGTATTGCCGTTTGACACATGCTTGACCCATAACACTCCCTTACACCTTGTGAGACGTTCTTGGGAAGTCTATTGAATCCTATTGCTTGGAGTTGTTCTAAAAAAAGAACCCAAATCAACAGTTGTTAACGTATCACATATATCACCCATGTCATCCCATGTCGGGTGTGATCACCTCTACGATTTGATTTGCATCACTCTGCGACGTTTCGTGGTTGCCGGGGCCGTCCTCTGTTTCACCGGGCGGTTCCGTGGCCAAGGATCGATGGGCTCGGGCGGCCGCTCCAGCAGAGCTAAGGAAAACTCCTGCTCCTTGAGTCAGGTCATGTCACTGACAGGTTTGAATGGATGGCACACTCGCAAACAGTTCGCTATCAAACAATCGAAGTGGAACAGTTCGACCGGAAGACCAATGGTCCTTGTAGTTGTAGAGGGTCTGTCTGCTTACAAGCTGGATGGATTAGATGGATGCAAACCCCCATTTTTGATGCACCATCTTGGGGTCATACTCTGCCATCTTCAGCTCTGACACCACTGATAGCTGCAGTCTGAAATTATGTTGTGACCTTTATGTGAAAGCAGGTGAACATGGACTCATAACTTCGACATGCGAAGTCCCATTCGGCCCATATCGTTGCAAAACATGCAGGGTGCTCCGCTTGCAAAGGATGTTCAATCTTCAATCTGCAAGATGAGAGCAAGTGCTGCAAACATGGAGGTATTTTAACTGGACTCCAATACCTGTCACAATTAAAACAAACTAAAGATTGCAAACGAGGTTGTCCGAACTCCAATTGCAGTACTCTGACTGGCCAATTCAAGCACTTCTTCCAGTGCTTGAAGTAAAGAACATTGTCAAGAGGAGGGGGCAAAAGAAACCTTCCCACATAGTCACATAGTATAGTCAAAAGCTATAGTCAAAAACATACCAGGGACCCCTTCTCCTCTACTCAGGGGCTTCTATGTGCGTTCTTCGTTTCAACCCGCCTGAAGTCCCCGCCATGACAAGGTGGTCGGAAAGCCCTTGTATAGGCATTCCGGGTTTTGGAACATCTGCGCGCGAGACCGACCTCGCGTTCGCGCTCACGTTCAAAGCCCAGGCGTCTTCCAGGAAGTACTTGGTGCCACGAGCCCGGTCTTCTCGCATGATCACACGCACCGTGACGTTTCCAATGCCAAGCTTCCTGGAAGAAATGAGTCCAAGCTCTCTGTGCCCCTCCGTCCATCTGCAGCTCATAAAGGGTAGCGGCAGAGTCTACTCCGTATGGCTGAGTGGTGGGCAGCAAGGTCAGAACCGTCCACTCTTTCAGTTTTTCTGCGATGAAAAACACCTATAACGGTTACATGCATTCCACCCGCCCATCCGCGGGTTTACATGCATATGCCAACCCACCAAGCTTCTTGTACAACAGTAATTATATATATAATTTTGGAGGTCCTTTTCCATCATCCTGACCCCACCCCACCTAATACTAATGTGCTGATCGGCCTATTCTGGTCTTTCACCGACCTGACCCCGAGCGGACAGCTGGGAGCCTACAGTAAGTTACTAAGACTCGTTGTCCCAGACTTGAGCAATCCGTCTTCTTCGCAAGGCCCTGCCACGCACAAGCCAGGCATCAAGAAGTATGGTGGCATCCTACACTGCAGCTGGCTGTGTCGCAGGACCACCTGTCAGGGCAATTCTGATGCTTCCAGGGACTAGCTTCTTGGCACTCAAAACCCAAACCGAATTAGAAGCAAATTGGAGGGATATATTTGCGTCACATCACCGTAGAATACTGTATGAGTTTGCATCCCGATATGCTACACGAGCATGTTACAAAGCCGTCTGAGCATCTCTTCGAATCCTTATGGCAGGCAACCAATGAGAGATGGCCGGCTCACCCACCCGAGCGTTTCGTCTCTGAAACCCTCCCACCTGCTCAACGCGGGCATAGTCGTTGAAAAGGCACCTCAGTTGACCACCGCTGATCGAACGCAGTCCAATTTGTGGGATCTTGCAGTCCAAAAGCCGCACGCGCGCATGCGCCAGACTCTTGCAACTACCAAAACTTTCTGTGACACGCCGTCCCTGTATGAAAGCTCCAATGAAAAGCCGACTGCAAGCCCCAAAGGTAAACGAGCTGTTGGCTGTTCCAAAAGATCCTGTGAGCAATATAGCAGGATGGGAAGGAAACAGACGGAAACCACTGCTACAGTGCTCAAGGGGCCAACACCTCGCTCCTCGCTCTCGACACTGTCTGGGTGCACACCACTAAAGGCAATGAACAACGATTGGAAACATGGAGAAACACTTCAATCAATCAAATTATATCAACTGTCTACCTAGGCCTAGGCATGCCTAGGCTACTAAAACTTGACACACCACACCGCTGCAAAGCAAACTCGTTGATGACTCATGATGACTTATCTGTAAGGCTCATCGATTCAATCCTCCGAGTTGGGTGGTTGATGAGCAGGACTCTCCACTGAAAGCACCAGTAATTACTTCCATCCTTCCACGCCCCAGTCCTAGAGCCGTTTTTCCACATGACCGTTCTGATGCAACGAAGCTGCTGTAAACCTGGAATGAAGTTCCGCCCCAATAGGGTGATGTTGGCCGCTTCCGCGATGTACACAGAACCTCTGTTCTCCGGACCAGGCATGGCAGCACGAAGACGTCAACGGTGCGAGTGTCGGTCGCAGTCAAAGCGGAATGTCTGATTCTTTTGGCTGCAAACTGTCATGGAGTGTATTTATACTGTAGATATTTATATTTTAATAAATAACTGTCGTGTCAGTATATCACCAGTTCTTTTGCTCAAGACTCTGCTCCAATTTTCAGGCGGTGGTTGCTGTGGCTCCAAGTACGAATAGAAGGAGACTGAAAGACTTATCGTCCCAGGAGCTGGGCTGAAGAGCAAGAACACGGATGCGCACCCATGTATTTAAGATGACCGTCTCCTTCGAGAAGAAGAGGCCGTCATTGGAGAAAGCGACCGTGAGGTTGGACACATCCTGCGGTTGTTTTGGTTCAGTAGCACATGTAGGTTTAATTTGGTCGGGGACGTGCTTGAAGTTACTTGTGTAGTGAAAGCGCTGGATGGCTACCTGTTGCCAAGATCGTCACAAAGGCCTCCTCCAAAGAGGAGTTCCGACCGCTACCCCCTCGGAGCTGGCATCTATCGTAACTAGCAGCACCAAGCATGAGGATCTCAGCTCCCTTGAAACCCGTTTGCAGTCACAACATTGGAATCTCAAAAAGCACAAGACGCAGAACTGGCTTGGGGCAAGTCCTCTTGATGTGATCTTTGATGATGTTTGCGCTCACGTGCGGAGAGTACTGCATACCACTACATACTGCATACTGCCCGGCCCCCAGCCTGTTGCCATAGAGGCACCCGACACTGCACCATCTCAGCCGTCAACACCCTTACAGCCGTCCACTGCACCAACTCTCCGCCGATGAGGCAAGCGCGGCCTGCACGGAACTCGAGCCGCTCGCCCGCGCGGACGAGGACTCGTCAGCGCCAGGGAACATGAACCGGCATCCCCCGCTTCAGTCGTGATGGCATTCCGCACATGACTCTACTATGAATGGCATGAACATGGCATTCTGCATCTTGGCAAGTGGCACTGGGTGGGCCCACCATTTTAGAGCAAGGATGGGTGTAAAACATGGTAAAGCACGTTGATCAACATCATTCAACGCATCGCGGGGGAGGCTGTGCTCTACGGCATGACGGCATGACCATGGCCGTTCATTGCAACTGCTCAAGGCATCCGTGGCCCGTTGGACGTGGAGATCTTCGGAGTTTCTTCCGCTGAAGGCGGTGATGTGAAGCTGGAGATGCTGGTTGCAGCGGGTCTAAGGAGACTGTAAGAATTTGATCTAAGTTGGGGATTCCGGCACAAAGGAAAATATATGTAACAACAAATTAATGAGCAGCATACATTGAACTTCATCCTAAATGATCTCAGCGAATGCGCCAAGGACCAATCAGCATTGTTCCCAGAAAGTCCTTTGCGCGCTGTCTGTACATGAGCAGGTGCTTTGAGAATGCAACGCTATCAGTACCACTGAAAGGGGGCCACTGAAAGCAGTACCCCACTGCATCAGGGCCACCTGCGCACTCTGAAAGCATCTTTGTCCTCGCTCATGTGGCCTTTCGTGTCAGTCTTTCGGTGTGAAGCGCGCGCTTTACGCGGCTTCAGGCTGCAAGAAAAGCAGCCCAACTACAGAGTGCAGCTGGAAAACTTGAGACCGAACGCCTCAAGACTATTCTTACGACTCACTCATGAGACTTCTGTATAGAACTCCTGTACCTTAATTACTGAGCGCGTCTTCCAAAAGCTGGACGAGGCTGGGCCACGACAAGAACTGGGAGGAGAATCTCAAACTTTGGCACAACACTGTAGATTCAGATGGTTTCAAGCCTCAGTCCACTTGGGTCCAAATCGCAACAAATGCGTAAAAAAGGTCGCTGCTCCAACTCGCAGGTCCGCAGGTCAAATCACTCGCATCCGTGGACTGCGTGGCGAGTCTGGCGATGCTCCTCTCGCATCCGGCTCCTCTGGGTCGGCCGTGGCAGTCTGATCAGACCTCCCCGTGGTCTGATCATGTAGCCAGGGTCTGAGTCGATCCGACCCATTCGGCTGCTCTATGCCACCTTCCAAGGCCACACTCTCTGGAAGATGTTGGTCGAGCACCTCAACCAACGGCGAGGTAAAAAAAGTCCGTGACAAAGCACGACAACCAAACAAGTTCAGGAAACAAAGGTATCAAACTTCGACCAAACGCCCTCCAATAGCATGACACACATCTAATAGAATCTAATGTCATGTAGTATGGTTTCACCACGTGTTTGAACAAACTGGTCACACTTTTTATCATGTGTCAACCACTTCATCTTTGAACCAAAAAACCATTAAAAAAACCTTCCTCCGGGATCCATGGGGTTTTTATCCACCGACCGCCCTAGCCATGGGCCGACCGCCGACGACATCCGCTCCGCTCCGCTCAATCACCGAGCCACAAAGCCATGTCGCCGCGCGGCTCCAGGCGTCTCGGTGACGGAACCTCCTTTCAACTGCTCAGCGAGTTCATCGAAACGGGTTTCCAAGTTGGCAAACTGGAGTTCGCACTGATGAAGGAACTCCTCTTGGAGTGAAAGCCTGGATGAGTCCCGCAACATCGATGCTGCGACACATCATGTTAGACGAGGAAGTGGGGAACCATGTGAAAGCTATTGAACACTGAGCATCCTCGCGGACAGTCACCAACATGTTCACTGTTCGGGTGCCAAACAACGACTTATAGGCAACGTCGCGGAAACGAAACACAACTAACTCCAGGACCTTCAAAGTGAGCGACGAGCTTGAGATCCCTCAAGAGGTCACTTTGAACCTCCAGTTTGTTTCTTACTGTTTTTAAACCTCTGATTTCTACAATCGGTACCTTGCACCATTCCTGGTGTGTTTCTTTGGAGGCAAATCGAAAAACACAGGTGGAACGCCTCCCGCATCCCCCCGCGATGTTTCCGTAATTGTATGTTAGTCATTACGGATCATCAATTGACCTGGACTCAGACTGGCATTTGGGCGGCCTGTCTGACATGTTGAAAACAACCTGAGGGAAAAAAACAAAGAAGCCCAACCTGATCCCGTAACCACAAAGACTGCCAAACAAAAACATGTTGCTAGTGGTTCAGTGGTTCAGTCCCAACAGGAGTTCTTTTTTGCCAAGTGGCACCCGATCAATGTTGTACTTGGCAAATCGTGGCGCTGTTTTCGACTCGTGGATCCAGCGGCTCAAAGGTCCTGTGAATTCCTCTTTCCTTGGAACCAACAGCGTGTGCCGTGTGAAACCACGTGCTGGAGACGAGCCGCGTTTCTGGCAAAAACGGGGTCAAATCGTTCGTTGTGACGATGCCCAAGTTTCAAACGCTGGTGGAGCCAATGCTAGGGATCAACATCTGGGGGCGCTTTGCAAACAAGAGTGCAAATTGTTTTATGTTATTGTAAATGTCTGATGCGTCCCTTGATGTTCACTATCATATTCATCATAAAACATGCCTGCAGGGCTGAAAATTTCAGCAAGTTACTCAATCGCGCCCGAGCCATCCGCGTCGATCATCTCAAAAAACTGTTCCAAATCATGGGCATCAATGTCCATGACGCGCAATCGGCTCCGGAATTCGGGGTCCGTCTGCGCACCCTTCACCAAATCATCCAGGGTTAACTCACCCGTGGAAGACATGTCGATTCCTTAAAGTCGCCGCTGTCGACATCTTGAAAACACTTTTGTGAATAGTTTCCGGTTGTGCATTCGCTGTAAACAACTTCAAAGCAATCTTTAGCTAGACTGGGTTTCTGATGCTTTTGTCCAGTGGTGTCGTGTGCACGTAGCGTTCCAGCCGTAGCATGTGAACCTACTGTTGTTACCCCCACCCGACCCCACCCCACCCCACCCCACAAGCACTATATATATAGAGATTTAGAGGTCACTCACCAACTCAAGCCCACACAACAGGCAAAAGAACCGACCCTGCCAGGTTCGTATTCCATTCACTCGCACCATGTTTGTTTAACTCTTGGATGTTACCGCAGCTAGTCTGAGAACAGGGGTGAAACATGGACATGAGTAGGGGGCCCTGCAGCCCTGGTCATGCATCTGGTTGCAAACACGCAACATCGCCATCCGCGACCCCTACCTCGCTATGATGGGCAAAGCTTACTCAGGGCAGGAAAAGGACACTAGCGGACCTTGGGCGCTTCACTCGCTTGGGCGTGGCCCCTCTCAACCCACCCTGAGCACCTAAATATGTTAAACATATTTAAAAATAGTTTAAGCACAACACCTGCAAAACGGTTCAATGTCCGTGACCCTATCGGCTCAATCGCCCACCGTGAGCTTAACTGCATGGACGAGTCAGCAGGTGCAAAACTTGTTAAATGCATGGCTTTAGAGTTCGCAACCACGTGGGGTTGGTTCATGACTGTTCGCAAACTCACGGCTCCAAATCTATAAAGCGCTATTGAGTCCCTCGACTGCTACCGCAAGGAACGCAAAAAGCTCTCCCCAGTGTTGCTAAATGCCTTGGGTGTATCCCATTCCCTGCAACAGTGGATTTGTTGCTTTGCTTAGTGAGGCGCCTCCGTCGCCTCCAGCCGGTCAGAATGCGAACATGCTTACAGTAATCGGGCGCAGGCACGATGAGCGTCGCCAAGCCAGAACATTACAACGAAACTGCTCAAAAGCATTCAAAAGCAAGATCCATAGCCATAGCCCCTCCCACTTTCTCATTTAGGTTGATGTGGAGGAGACATCGGACCATCTCCAACTGCCAATTGACAAAGGAGACATGGCTGCCCCTTGCAGGCAGGGAAACCTCTAACACCCCAGTCAATTTCGATCTTCCAACCCGTCTGTCATACTGGGAAGGAAACATACCTTGAGCATGCAACCATTTAATGCACATACTAGAAAATTGTGATTGTGCCGCCAAGGACTGTGGACCCTTACCGTCAGCATGTGTAGAAATGTCTTGAAGATGAAGATCAGAAACTCCTCTCTTTGGGGTTAATGCACGTTGCGGTGTTCCTTTCACACAGTGCAATTTGCTACGGAATACCAGTAAGTTAACAATCAATAGCTTTGCTCCCGAAACGTAGGCTTTCCAGGGAAGAATCGCTCCAACACATTACACGCCAATGCACTTGGTTTTCACCGAGCTGAAGGTATCCATACATCTCCACCAAACCTCTCCAAAGTATGGTCTTTCTAATGACCTATAAATATCATTATGTGTATATTTTGCTGTGGCCACTCCCACAACATCCCCAGTGGAAGCTACTCTCCCCCCCCCCTACAGAATGCTAAAATTCGACCTTCCCTTAATAGGGTCACCAAAAGCGCTCAAAAAAAGGCTAGCGTCTTGGATTTTTCAATGCGAGCAGTGCGAGCTCGAATACAGTTGAAGCTGAAAGTCCTCCAAATTCCACCTATATATATAGCACCTATAGTTTCTAAAAGTATGGCCCTTTTGTATGCAATTGCTGTGTTTTTATTTATTGTTATGTTCACACCATCATCAAAGTGGATGCAAAGACTAAAAATGAAGCAATGCCGGCATCAAGCACCTTTCAATACTATTACAACAACATATATATATATACATATACAGTATACAAATGATATCAAATCATATCAATGATGGCAAAAATGATCGAACATGTTTTCCCTGAATAGAGAAGACGCAAATGGGATGACTGAAACATCCTGACATGTTTGAACATCACATTCATGTGTAAACGTTGAATGGTCGACCCCGGATGCACCCCCAAAAAGCATCCGGGAGAAAATTTATCATGACAATTTCTTATGACAATGCCAATGGTTGTTATATTTTACAGAAAAGAGTCGATTGAACATTTTTTCCAACTTCTGCTTGTCGGACTCGTGATCATGGTCGAGCTCTTCCGCCAAGTTCATCACATCTCGTTGGCGGCTCTCGGCAAAGCCATCGACCACCACCTCTGCTCAAAACCCAATCACCTTCCTCCGACCCATGTGGCTGGCCCGAAATCATTCTCCGTTCCAACGAGCTTCCCAGGTGCCGTGCTCGAACATGTGCTACCCCCCAGAATCGCTCTTGAATAGAAGTGCACACCGGTGGAGACAGACCTCTTGTGGTTGCGCTTATGTGCGCCTGGTGTATCTGGTGTGTCGTTCAATACGCGTGGTGCGTGATATGGTGGTCATCTTGGGTGGGTACCCTCGTGGCATGCCGTGAAACGTATGTGTGTGTGTCATTGTTGACAGGATGCGACTGGTGGGATGCGCTGTTCTTATCTTTTAGCTTGGGTCTGTCCTTACCCTATTATGACCAGTAACAGAAGTGGATGTTGATGGTCAGTAAGGGCCTTGTTCAAGAATCGTGATCTGATAATCAATGTTATTGTGTGTTGTGTAAGTAGGGGCAAAAATATATTATATGTGCGATTTTGATGTACCGTTGCTTCTTGTCTGTTCTTGGTGTTGCAGTTCCCTATCCAAAATCTATATATCAACCCCACTCCTGTCCGGTGGGGACACTGGAAATCCCACCCCCCCATCGACCGGTCCACGTGGTCCGGTAGGGACCGACCGGACCCAGCGACCAAGTCACAGCGACGACCATATTCAGGACTCCAAAAATCAGCGTCAAGAGGGAGCCACAGAAAATGAAGGCCGTGGCCGGGTAGAGCTCGATGACCGGAACGGCGATCTCACCCCAGCTGTCTCCGGCCACCACCGTTTTGAAGAGCAAAAGATTCGCCCTCATCACTGTAGAAGTGGCTAACTTGCAATCCTGACATCCTTCGAAATATCCCTGCTGATACATGTTGTCAATGACTGGATGCACGAACTCCACTAAAAGCATGGACCAAAGTGTCATCACTCCAAAGCAAAACAGGAACGACCAGCCAAGGGCCTTCAAACAGGTCGACATCATGGAAATCAACTTCTGAAGTTCTTTCAAAGAACGTGTCTTGCGCACAATCCGCGCCACTCGCACAATGCGTGCCACCCGTAGAACTCTGACATCGTACAAGAACTGAAAATCATCTGGGAGATTCAGAATCTTGACCACTGTCGACAAATAGCCACAAAGGGTCGTGAGCAAATCAAAGATTACCACTGACTCTTTGAAGCCTTGACGTCCCTTCATGCAAAATATGAAGATCAACTCAATGGTGTAGATGCCTAGGCAAACTTCTGACACAACAAATGAGGCCAATGGAGGCTCCTGATGCTTGGCGCGCGCATCAATGTCCGCAACAGTCGCCATCATATCTATCAAAATGATGGCAGCCAAGGCAGTGGTCATAAGCTTGCCTTCACACATGTTGATGAGCTGCATATGCCACCAACCAAACTCCTGAGAATCCCGATCGTTTTTCTTCTCTGGAACGATCTTGTGAAAATCTGACGTCAAGGAAAGCCGAGCATTCCTGGAATTGATGCTGCTGCTGCTCTTCTCTCTTGTTGGCAGGTCAGACTCCATGATGACACTCCTTCTAGGCCTTCGAAGAACGAATCTGGAGCCCCGAAAAGGCGGCTGCAGTGACGCATGCAACGTCTGCGGGCACGCGGCTGCATGTTTTTTTTTTGGGGGGGTGGTGCGTTTCACACATGAAGGTTCCCAAATCGATGCAAATCGTTTCTATGCAATCAGGCAGGGTGCAAGGGTGCAAGAGTCTGGGGCACAACTGCGAATCACTCCAGTTCAAGAGAGGTCACACCAAACATCACTCCAGTTCAAGTGAGCTTTCGATTGGCGGCGCCTGGCAGGTCCTCAAAATACATGCCATACAAGGTGATCCACTCATAGCTTTGAGTCTCCACTTCCTGGGACCGCTTGGGGTTTCCCCCACTTCTCAGGACGAGCAGCGGACTTGAGTCTTCAAGTCTCAGGACGCGGGCGGCAAGGCTCCAAGGCCAGTGGTCAATCGACGCTGCTTGAGCTCAGCTACAGTGGTTAGTAGAAGTGGTGCTATCGCCAAGAGGTTGGTGGGGGGTCCATAAACCACCAAACTTGGACATGTGTGCCATCTATTCACTATAAAACGTCTTGAAGTGTTGAATGCAAAATTTGAAGTTCTTGGGCTGAGAGAATGGGAACATGGCGCAGCAAATGAGCTTGTTCGGGGAAAGGTGAGAATACCCTCAATGCAAACATGATTTACTTCAACCGCCACAAGCTAGCCGTGCTCGCCAGCTCAAGCCGTGTGCCAAGCTTCTTCAGGATCCACAGAGTACACTTCTGGCCTTAGGATGCCCCCAAGTTGCAAAGGTTGTCAACCCATGCATCAGCTGCACTACACTTTCTTTCACTTCAAATCGCTGGCTCCTGTGGACCCGAATGAATGCTAGCTGCCGGTCCAAGTGGCAGGAAGGTGTAGCGGAAAATCCAGGTCTGGGGAAAGGTCACCTTGCGGGACCGATCGAGATCCGAGTCATCTTACATAGCTTGATCGGACGCTTGTCAGGCCCCTGATCGTCGCCCAGGCCCACAATGGCTCGATGCGCTCCGTGTTGGACTTCCGAGCGGGACAGACCAAACAGGAAGGCAAATAAAGATACTACCGAGATGATGAAACCAAGTAGAGGATATAGATGGATCTAGAGATTGAATCGAAGGATCATGGGACCCCAACAGGGTTGACCTGGGTCACCCCTATAAAAGACAGCACGAGACATGCACGCTAAGCTTTTTTGATCTCTCTTGCCATTCCTTACACGCTGTGCATCGCTGCGCGAAGAACAGAAACACGCGCGGGGGCGCTTTCCCGCCGCAGCCTGCTTGAGCTCCTCTCCGCAAAAAAGGTGCAAGGGCCTCGGGTGAAAAACGGCCATTGACGAAGCTACTCGCTCTGTCCTGCTCAAGCGCCCTTGGTCTCGAAGTGTCGACACCCGTGTTTGAACAATGCCACAGCCCGGGTCAGCCGCAGCAGTTGAAGCAGCTGCGTCATGATGGGTCGAAGCATCTTAGGACAATGTCAACATACATTGTCCACATTATACACAACTTACAGGAACCACCGTATGACTCGAATGACTCCGGAACGAAAAATGCGGAGAACAAGGACCTCACTGGTTGCACACCCGCGGCCCATCAGCGAATGCATTGGGCACACTCTCGATCGGATGGAACACTAGGGGTGCATCAGTCATCAGCTCGCCTTCTTCGACAAACACCCGACACACGGGTGTAAAGCGCTCGAATTCGCTCTTCTGCGGCAAGCAGCACGCTGGAATTGTCCGAAGCTGCAGGCACAATGGCTTCGATCGAAGAGGAATTCATCACCTGAAGTGCCGTCCGTCCAAATCCGTCACATCTCGTGGGGCCTGATCGCTGTCTTCGGGGGGGGGCCTATTGGTGTAAACGATGGTCTTAGTGGAAGTCAACATGCTTTAGATTCAGGAATTTAAGTCTGACTCGAAAATGGATGAAGGGCTTCTTTTCTTAGGGTGCTTAGTATTTCTTTATATCTACGTTCGTGTATATGGTCTATCCGACCGGTGGTCCGAATGTGTAACACATGGTATGGTGAAATTTATCGCACAGGTCATGTCACTGGAACAGTTCAATGAAAATCACCATGGACGACAGTTCTGATACGACAACTGCAGGTCAAACATGTTCAAACAGGCACTGCAAGTGGAATTTCCCTGATTGGTTTTGTCCATTGCGTGAATGTGCACTATATATAGTACTATCAGTAGTACTATGTGTACGGGTTACAGGTGGTTACAGGTGTTCATTCTTGATGGGGCCCTATCCCTGTACTATGGAGGCCATCGCGGGATGGAGGGCATCGCTTTGGGTTGGAGGCCAGCGTGGTGCACGTCTCACCGTGAGGCGGAGGGTGTTGAGTGTTGACGTTCCCATTTTTTCGAACACCAGTGCTCCGTCCCGGTTCCAAGCAGTACTCCGTCCCGGTTTCTGGAGGATACACCTGTTCATGGCCATGCTGGCTTATCGATGGAAAAGCAGTGGAAAGGATGTGACTGTCGTTAGATCATCCATGCCCTGCCCAACCAAAGGTCACTGAAACACTTTTATCCCGGGTAGTCTAGGATCGGTCGCCACCTTCCACATTCCAGCACTTTGGTACTTACACTCACTGAAATGATGGAAGTTAAGTAGTATTTGGAAAATGGCAATCCTTTCTTGGCCATGCCAGCCACTTCAAAGATTTGTTCAGGAGTGTATACAGATAATTAGCAGCAATATCAGTTGGCCCAACATTTATGGTTATAGGAACCTATAGGGAATGGTCATGGTTTTCCCCCCACGAGGCTAGCCCTTTGTAAAGGCTTTCGGGAACCAGGGGGGAGAACCTCTCCACGTCACGTTTTTGGGTCAAATCCTCAATATGGTCAAAGCATGATCTTTAAATCAAATCCAATATCCTCAGGCGAATACTGCACCATTTTGAACCAACCCTCTGGGTCTCCAGGCCATGGTCACGGCCGGAACGTCTCCAAAACGCACCTCACACTTCTCCAAGGAGAAACCTGGCAAGGCGGTAACCCGTGGGTGAAACACTGGCTGATCGCAGGAACTCTGATGCATCGATGAAACACAAAATATCCAACTCCAATTGTATAATTTTAACAGTGGAATTAAACATGCATATATAGAGCGAGTATATGTATGAATGAAGGGACCAGGGCAGGACTTCCAGCCAGTACAAACTATTCATATATATATATATATATACATGTAATATATACATATGTATAAGTATGCTCTCCCCCGGTACATACCTTTTGGGTAATGCTATCAGATGTGGGCGACAAATCAACTTGAAATATCAAAGATCTTAAAATTGTAATTTCAAAGGCTTTCCTTTGTATCCTTGAGAATGGTCATTTCATGTCACTTCTATTATGTTCAAAAGTCGTAAAACCGTTCATTGCAAAAGGTTTTTCCTGGATCTCTGGTAATGACAACTTTGATATCAAGAAGGTTTATACAACAATGGTCATTCTAACTTAATTGATTTTGGGGAAGGATCACGTCTATATGAACATGATCCTTTGTAGAGAAGCTTTGGTTTCATTTCAAAAGTTGCCCTCTGGGTCTCTAGGCAACAATTAAAATTAAAAGTCCAATATAAGGGGTTTCATGTCAAAGCGTTTCTTCTGGATCTCTGTGAAAATAGAACTGCCCATCAAAAGTCCCTCATCACAGATAGGTTTCCTCTCTAAAACCTTCCATCAAAAATCAAAACACTTTGTGGATGTGAAATGGCACGTACATTCAAGTAAAAATCGTTGAAACTATGCTAAAACTGTCGCAAAACACATTGAAAGTATACGTCAACAATAAACGCAATATATTTTACTAGACATTAGTTTAACAAAAATGAAGTGAATACACACTGGAAATTGATTGAAACACAAACAAATGACACTTAATTAAAGCCGAATGTAAAAATATACGATAATGGTTTGAGAACAAATTAGAGCATATAGAAAATGTAGTATTTGTATTCTATCCTAAAACCAAATCTTTACAAAAAAACAACCGCACTTTAAAATCAGTGAACAGTTTTAAGTTTTGAAAGCAAAAAATGATACAAGAAAACGCAAATAAACAACATTGCCTAACAGCAAATTCTATCTAGTTTCAGTAATACACCTGATTTCCTAAAGCATCAAGTCCAACGTACATATTATATATGTAACTGAATTGAAAGTAACTGAACTATAATTGAAACCAAAAGTTGAATTTAATTAATTCAACAGCAATTACAACTGTATTTATTTTGGCACACAAATAAACGAACAAATTCTGATTAATAAAGCAACAATTCAAAAGTATATGTAACTGAATTGAACACAATTGAGAACTATAATTGAAACCAAAAGTTTAATTTAATCTAACAGCAATCACAACTGTATATATATATATATTGTTGAAACAAAAACACCGTCGAAATAGAGCAAGCTCAAATAAATAATTGGTCACTATTACCTAACTGTTTTACCTTTGCTACAAGCAAATTGAACATATATCCAGAAAATACAATTAAAAAAAGCAAACTCTACATGTCCAAAACGAATTGAACAAGTTTAAAAGTAAGTTAGACCAACTAACAACAATACATGTTGTTAAAAATGTACATTAAAATATATTATATAAGCCTGTGTTGGAACACACAAGAGTAAAACATATTCTATCACGATTCTATGTTCGACAACGCAAATATAACACATAACTGTCATCCAATTAGCACAAGTGCCACATTAGTTTTCGTAAAACACCAATCAAATACTTATTTAAAAGGATTGCTTTTGACAAGCAAAAAGGCAAACAGTTAAACATGTTGCGAATCAACTAAAACAAAAAACGACATTCCATTAAAACCAAACTCCAAAAATTAAAGCTATTTACAGGCAACCTAAAATAGGATAAACACAAAACATAACTATATATTAGGGTTCTATTTGGTATTCAAAAACCTTGTGTTTTATTCAAAACGTACTTTTAAAAAAGAAACATGATTGCATGTTAAAAGCTCTGTTCTGGATCTCTGGGAATACCCGGTACCCGCTACTATAACATTGATATACAGCAAAGCTTTCATTCCAAAAGCTGCTTTTCTGGATCTCTGGCAATGATCATTTCTACATGAAGATTGTTTGCAAACAAGTTGAACAAGTTGTAAAATACAGCAAACAATATATAGTATTTCAAATGGTTGCAAATAATAAGAGCCGACAAAATGTAGTTCTTACAATTCCCTTGCAAATATATTAAAACTATTTGGCGTAATTTAAAACAAAGTTTTAAAGACATCACGCTTCTATGTTTAAAACAAACTTATCTTAGAAAACAACCAACAAATGAAAGCATTTGTTGAAAAAGGCTAGTTTTCGGTTCATTTAATGGACATAGATTAAATAGATGCCCCCAGAGTGGCTGAAGTCAGGTCATGGGGTCTGTGCAGTTTTGTATTTTGGCTTTGCAAACGACACAAATACAGTCAAACTGCACGGACTAACTTTTCAAATTCCTGAGGCCACCAGGTCATGGGGTCTGCAGTTTTGGTATGTTTCTTTTGAAAGGAAGGCCAAAATACAAAAATACCAAAACTGCATGGACCTATTTTTCCACAAAGGATAAGGCCAGGTCATG